TAATAATACATGGAAGTTATATCAAAATATGGTATAAAAAAATTATCTCTATAGCACCACCTTTCTTTTTTTGGTAGCAATTTTATTTAGATAGTGGGTTAATTAAATAAATGTTAAGTTTTATTTTTTAAAAACTAATTAATATAAAAATTATAATAATTATACTCTTAATTTGATTCTTTATAAAGACACAAATTAAAAAAATCCTCGTAAATTTTGAAGGCAGTTTTGTAATCTAACTTGATACAGATCCCACAATCAAAGCTATTAATGATGGAGAGTTCCTAAATTTGAGGTTTGAGCATTTCTATTTCAAAATTAATGGTTAATTTTTTTACTATTTGATTTAGATCATATTATAAAAAAATTCTTTAAATATAAATTAGGGCAACTTATATAGTCAATAATTTAAATAATTTAATAATAAATTTTTTACATAAAAAAATTCTTAATTCAAAATTATATAACATTTGAGTTAGATAAATTAAGAATTAAAAAAAATATCTTATTTCTTATTGGTTTACTCAAAATTTAAAAAATATATATATATAAATTGAATAATGATAAATATGTAAAAACCAAAAAAATGTGAATGCAATAAAATGGTGGGTCCTACAGGAGTCCCTTTCCTCTTTCCATAGGCAGAGGTGGGAGGTAAGGTGAGGTAGGTCCCTTCTTTAGGACTCCTTACCTTATTTTTAGGACTCCCACTTTTCATTTTGTTAGACGTCGGTTGCTTTATCACATGGGGGAGAAATAAAATGGTTGGGCATATTCCTTCCATGTAGTACTTAATTAACCCCCAAAAAAAAAAAATGATGATGCCAAATCATAATTACAGATAAAAAATGAATGGGCCATGGTCATTAATTTCCAGCCACTTCAGTACTTCATTCTTAAAATTTTAATAAGGTATTCACATGCTATCCTCTCCCCCACAATGGACTTTCAGATGTGAACATAGATCTCCTTAAATTCATCAAACACATTTTTTCTTTTTTCAAAGTTCTAGTTAAATGAAAGAGTTCATTATATCTGTCTCTTATACACACCTAGATGTGTATATGAGACAGGCTGATAGCAGGCTGTATTATAAGGAAAAAATAAACAAATAAAAAACGAATCTGTACGTCATCAAACCGACCTCCAGGCAAACATGTGGGTAGTCCATTAAGAAGATATATTACCAAAACTGGAGAACTCT